CCGCCCCCCCCCCCCCACCCCGGCCTGCCCTGAGGCCCTACTTGCCAGATCCCCTGTGTGGCCCCTCCTCCCAGTTCCAGGAAGTCTTGTCTGCTGCCCCCTCCCAGGAGAAAGGCTGGGAGGGATTTGAAGGAGCTGTAGGGTGGGGCGGGATCTGAGCTGTCCACGTGAAGGCACCTTGCTTGATTGGGGAGAGGGAGAGACGCTGAGGGACACCTCACATCAGGCTAGTCCCCAAATACCCCACCTCTCCACCTGCTTCCCTTTCCCCAAATCCCTGGCTTCACAAAGCTGAGTTGAGCAGAGCAGAAGGGGGAGGGGGAAGAATGAGACAGACGGTTTCTGGGGGCCATGTGGGGAGACTGAGTTGGTGGTGGATCCCTGGACCTTGGCCAGCCTGACTTCCCCCCAAGTGTGTGTCTATGGATGGGGGGGATGGGCTCTCAGGGTGAAGTCCAGGTCCCAGTCCATTTTCTGTTACACACACCTAATGGGGAGGAGCTGGGTGAATAATTCAGACCACCGGAAAATCCAAAAGTCAAGTGGTGAGGTTCTGATGCCTGTGTAGGACTTGACTGCCATGCTTGCGTGTTTTTTGGCCTTAGCTCTGATTGGCTGAGTCTGACACTAAGTGCCACTGGGAGTCCCTGAGAACCAGGGCATGGAGGGTGAAGGCCCAGAGAGGGGTCCGAAGGTGTCCTGGTGGAGAAAGCGGTGGTGGCTAGGTAGAAATCTAGGGCAGCAGCACCCATTAGGGTTCACCGCCCCCCTCCCCAAGGAACCCCAGTGTGTTTACACTTCCCCCTTCTTCCTGGGGATGGATCAGTCTGTCCCATGTCTTGTATTTACAGAAGGCACCCAACCCAAGGTCACTTGGCTAAGAACCTCATTCTGCACTCCTCACCATGCCCTTGGCCCCTGCCTGAGGCTGGTGGGGGGGTGGGGTGGGGGAGGTGGGGGCGTGGATGCAGATTTGGCTAAAACTATAGTCCCAGTGACGGGGATTACAGGGAGTGCCTCCATCTGAGCACTGCCTCTTTGGCCAGAGCTGAGCCCTGTCCTCAGTGAATGTCTAAAGAAGAGGGCTTCCCTGGTGGCGCGGTGGGTGGTTAAGAATCCGCCTGCCAATGGAGGGGACACGGGTTTGAGCCCTGGTCCAGGAAGATTCCACATGCCGTGCAGCTAAGCCCGTGTGCCACAACTACTGAGCCTGCGCTCTAGGGCCCGCGAGCCACAACTACTGAAGCCTGCGAGCCTAGAGCCCGTGCTCCGCAGCAAGAGAAGCCACCGCAATGAGAAGCCCACGCAGCGCAATGAAAGGGTAGTCCCCGCTGGCCGCAACTAGAGAAAGCCCATGTGCGTCAACGAAGACCCAAGACAGCCAAATAAATAAATAAATAAATATAAAATCCTTAGGAAAAAAATTAATAAAAGGAGAAGAACCTCAGACTGCTGAGTGGTGGGCCTCCCACCCCCAGGGATCCCCCAGTCTGGAAGCGGGAAGCACAGCCCTCCCCTTGGGATCTAGTCACATGGCCCCAGGGAAACTCTTCCTTTCACTGAAGCTCAGCCCTTTCATCCCTGGTGGGTGGTAGGATCCTGAAATCTAAAACCACTCCTTGGCTCTGGCTGTGGAACTCCTCTTGTGGGTTAGGGGTATCCCGGACCGAGGCCCACTGCCAGACAGGAGACAAGGGTGCCGTTCTCCCTTTCCCCCTGGGCAGCCTTTTTCCCATGCAAGAATGGGTGGTGCGAGCTACTTTTCTGGGGAGGCTCTGAGAGAGAGGGGTGCCCTTGCTTAAATGGTGGTGCGGAGGAAGAGCAGGTTGATCCAGGGTTTCCACCTGCTGCCTTAGCAACAGTGGAGGAGTGATGGCTGCCTGCCGCAATGGTGGGAAAACCTGCCCACCAAGCTCCATGCTCTCGCCTCTCCTACGCCACGCTGAACGCTGGGTGTCTTCCAGCCTCTTCAGGCCTTCCCCTGCAGGGGTCAGGGTTTTGGGTGGCAGGCCACTCTTTC